AGGCGCTGTCTGTTTTCTCACTCCAGATGGTGACCTCTTGTTGGGGGTCGAGCTTCCCTGAAGAGGTCATGTTCATTCTTCCACAAGTGTGCTTTCATTCTCTTGGTATGAAAGCAAGCATTCCTTTTCATTCTACCTTATCGTTAGTGGTCTGAGGATTGAACGCAGGGCCTTTGCTTAGAGCCACATCCTCGGCCCTCTCCTTCCCTTCGCTTTGTTTAGAGACCGAGTATTGCTGATTCATTAAGTCGCCCCACAGGGCTCAGTGCTTCTCCTGCCTCAGCCTCCTGTCATGCAGGGATTACAGATGCGCACCGACGCATCCAGGCTGAACAAGGCCTTTTTTGGATTCACTCCACAGAACTGTGATGAGACCCTTCTGCTGTCCACTCCTTTTTCCTTATGATTTTTTCATGTTTAATTTTGAACTGTTTTTAAGATTTACAAGAATTTGCAAAAATAGATTATAGAAATCCTTCCAGTGATAGTGCGTAGTGTCTCCCCGTCACATCTGTACGCAGTACTTAGTCCAGCCAGGAAGTTAACGTTGCCACTGCACGGTTGGCTCAAACGCGATTCCTACTCCGCTTTTACAGTCCTGGCTCGCTTTTTCCGACTTGTGAAATGCTCTGCAGCAGGGTCAGGTTACCATTACCACAGTCAGCATGTAAGATTTTATGTCACTGCAGACGAACTGCCTCATCTTGGTAGAACCCTCATCGAACCCAATGTGTAGCCTTTACTGACCTACATAGCTAGGATTTGTGATAATAATCATGTAATTAGTAGATGTAATACTTTAATAAATGTAATTATAAAGTATGCAAACCTTTGAGACTTTTTCAGTCATTTTCCTTTACATCCTCAACGTTACTTGTGTCAGTACTTTTTATTGTGAATTAATATTTTATGAATTACTATAATTTTTTGCTATCTTTACTGTGTGAGGACACTTTAGTTATTTCCAAGTTTTTTCTGTTGCAAATACAGCTTTCAAGCAGTGAGTCTTGTGTGGACTCAGTGCGTCCTATCATATGTAGAAGAAATAAGAAAAAAGATATGACACAGAAAAGGTACTTGGCAAAATTCAATACCATTTAGAATTTTTAAAAAAAATCTTAAGTAACTTGTGAATTGATGAGTGTCATCTGCACAGCTGAGTGGTGAGAGACTGGTTATATGCTAAGGTTACTGTTCCTTCCTCATAGTAGCATAGGAAAAACTCCATACAGATTGGAAAAGACAGAAAACTGGCCCATTTGTAGAGAATACAAGTCCCAAGAAACTGCCCAGGAGCTTACTGAAACTATAAATGGGTTTAGTAAGATCATAGAATATAGTGTAAATAAGGTGGCTGCAAGGTAGCAGTCTAAGCACCTGCCTAGGCAAGTGCAAGGGCCCGGGTTCGATTCCCAGTACCACATGCTGTGCTGGGTGTGTCGAGCCAGCCACCAAGACCGGGCGTGTTGATGCATGCCTGTAAGCCCAATGCTGAGGAAGCTGAAACAGAATCACTACAAGTCGGAGCTGCATAGTGAGATCCTGTATCAAATATAAAAAATTATATATATGGTAAATAATATATACATATTATATATATGGTAAGTAAAAATTATATT